GACTCCCCAGGCCCCGTGGGGAGCGCTGCACCCCCTCGTGCTAGGCCCGGACTCCCCAGGCCCCGTGGGGAGCACTGCACGGTCCCCTCACGGTCCCTCCCTCCACAGCACCTGAGGAAGCTGAACAACTTCAACTCCTACCTGGCCATCCTCTCGGCGCTGGACTCAGCCCCCATCCGCAGGCTGGAGTGGCAGAAACAGACCTCAGAGGTGGGGGCAAGAACTGGTGCAGGGCTGTGCTCGCCTGGCCCCTGTCCTGCCCGTTGTTCCTGTGCTGAGGGATTCGGGGAAGGCTCTGGTGCCACACTGGGCACCTGGGTTCCTGCCCTCCCCACCAGCTCCTGGGTCTGCCTAGCTCTGCAGTGGGTGGGGTGGGTGCTACAGGGCCAGCGGGAGGGGCAGGGCAGGCGCCAGAGGGGGGTTTCTCTCAGAAGGAAAGGCACATTGTATGTGCGTGTGTGTGCATGCGTGTGCATGTATGCACACGCTCACGGCCGCCCTCCTCCTGCGTAGGGCCTGGCTGAGTACTGCACGCTCATCGACAGCTCGTCCTCCTTCCGTGCCTACCGGGCCGCCCTCTCGGAGGTGGAGCCCCCATGCATCCCATACCTGTGAGTGTGGTGCCTCGCGCCCAGTGTGTCCTTCGCATCCACTGCCCCTCAGTCCCTGCAGTAGGGAAGGACGAGGGATCTCAGGCTCTCTCCCCACCTCGCCCAGGGCTGGGTGCCAGACTCCTCTGCCCACACATGGCACCGTTCATCTTCCAGGTTCTTGAGCCAGGCTGCACAGCCACTGTGCCACAGGAGCCTAGGGAGCCCTGGGTTACAGAGGTATAGAAAGTGCCACCCACATCGGGCCAGGGTGGAGTTGGGCGCAAGGGAAAATGCAGCAGGGCAGCTTTCTCGGCGGGGCCAGGACACAGGGTTGCTCCCTTGCCCTCCCCTCTCCTTAGGACTGGTTACCCCTCTCCCCACCTGGCCCTTGTCCTCGGGATTCAGCAGCCCTTTTCAAGTCTCCGTGCCCACAAATGAAGGCACTCTGCCTTTGCCCGTGGCTGGTTCTGTTTGTTTCACTGTGTATCTCATAGTCGTACTTTAGCGTCCCATGGTTCTGCCCCACCCTGCGGGCATAGCCGCTCCCTGGAAGAGCCCCATGGCCTGCAGTGGCACTTAGGGACCTGCGAGGGTTGCCGTACGGAGTCTGCATGGTGGGAGTCAGCTCCCTGGGCCTGCTCTGGTCTGTGCTGGGCTCTCAGTGGCATGAGCTGGAGTTGCTCATGGTGAGCTGGCTGGTCCTGGTAGCCGCCTCTCAGCTGACCCCCCAGCCTCCGGGTCAGTCTCCAGCGGTAACTGGCTTCTGCACCATCATCCAGGGGCCTGATCCTGCAGGACCTGACCTTCGTCCACCTTGGCAACCCTGACTACGTGGATGGCAAGGTGAACTTCTCCAAGCGCTGGCAGCAGTTCAACATCCTCGACAGCATGCGCTGCTTCCAGCAGGCGTGAGTGCCATGGGGTGGCCGGGACGGGGGTTGGGGGCAGTTAGGACAGACACAGGATGGGGGGTGGGCCACTGGGCAGGCCCAGGATGTGAGGGGAGGGGCAGCTGAAACCCCCCGGCCTCGTTGGCTCCAGAACAGCAGCAGCCGAGCGGGCCATCGGAGCCCCCAGGTGTGGCCGCCCAGGTGCTGCAGCTCAGAGCGCAGCCTGTCTCCATGTCAGCGTGCCACAGGGTGGGTAGCAGCAGCCTCCGGGGCTGGGCGCTGGCACGGCAGTTGCTGAGGCATGGGGCTGCCCAAGGCCAGACACCCTCTGAGCGGGCGTGGCTGCCCCCCCAGGCATTACGACATTCGGAGGAACGATGACATCATCAACTTCTTTAACGACTTCAGCGACCACCTGGCTGAGGAGGCCCTGTGGGAACTCTCTCTGAAAATCAAGCCCAGGAACATAACCCGGAGGAAAACAGACCGGGAAGAGAAAACCTAGGAGCAACTTCTGTCCGGACCAGATGCTCAGGAGCCCCAGAGAGGACGCAGGCTGCCCGGCACGGCACGGCTTCCTTCCTGCAAGAGCAGCCCCAGCCTGGCCCAGGTGCAGCACCGAGGGAGTGGAGCAGAGCGGAGCGGCAGGCGGCCAGGACTGGCTCCCCTCCCCTCCCCACCCTGTCCCTGATGCAGGAGGGCACACGGCGGCAGGCAGGCAGGCTGGCAGGCACCTGCACTCGGGCCCTGGTGAGAGGTGGTGCTTAGCAACCCTGGAGCTGGCTGCAGCCCTACAGCGCTGTGCACACCCCTCCCCACCCAGCCTTCGCTGGTACGCAGCGTGGCCCCCAGGACCACACTCTGTGTTCTGGGGAGCAGGGACAAGGGGAAGAGAGGGGGCACTGGGCCACCAGAGAAACACTGGCGAGGGCCACCTTCCACTGCGCTCCCTGCTGCGTGCCTTAACACCCTCCTGTCCTCCCCGCCCCCCCCCCTCAGGAGCCTGGCACAGACAGGCTGGGTGCCAGTCCTCCCTACAGAGGTTGACAATCGACTCGGAGGCCAGGTGCCCATGGAACCGCTGTATACACCTGGCTCCTGGGGCAGTGAGCGGCCAGGGTCCAAAGGTGCCCCCACCCCGGAGCCACCCAGTCAGGAGTGCCAGGACCTACTTCCACTTCCCCGACCCAAGTAAGGGAAGGAAGGCTGGGCTGAGAGCAGCTCCTGCACACTGCAGAAGTCTCCCCGCCAGGCACCCTGCGCCCTTCCCAGATCTCTAAGCAGCTTTTATCCTGGCAGGTGGGGCCGTTTCCCCTCCCCTGGCTGTTCTGTCTGTCCTGTACATAGGGAGGAGGGGATGCGTGAGCTGTCCCCAAGGCTCCCCTCTGGCAGCTGTCCGCTGGCTGTCCAGAACCTGTCACTTTATTATTTAAGGAGTGTGCGTGTGCAGTCGCGGTGTATTGACAGTATTGTGTGGGTTTTTAGTTTGTGCCCTCTCCTGGAAGTCCTCCCCTTTCAGCCCTGCCTCCTCCTGCCTCACCCCCATGGGGGGCCCGGGCTATGGGAATGAGATGCCCTCTTTTCTGGGAGCCCCGGGAAGCTCCTGGCACAGGCCAAGCCAGTGGACACAGGTGCTTGTATGGCAGGAGCTGTCCACCCAAGCCCAAGGGGAGGTGGGATCGGAGCTGGCGCTTGAACAGAAGTGTCCAGGCAAGGAGCAGGAAATGGGCAGTGGCCGCTCAGCGCACGAGGCCGGCCGGCCATCTGTGTATGACTTACTGGTCGGGGGGCGTCACACCCACTGCAGACAGGCAGACGGCTCTGCAGTGCCGTGGAGCGGGCCAGGGCACGCCCCAAGCCCGGCCTGAGCCCTGACGTCGGCTCTACAGCCCGTGGCGCTGCAGCTGCCCCATGGCCTCCCCAGTGTCAGTGTCGCAGACCCCACTCGTGGTCTGGTGGTGGTGTCTTCCTGCCGACATTTCAAATGTGTAATTTTTATATGAAAGAAAAATAAATACAGATGAACGCTGCCCGCAGGCCACCTGCCCGCACAGCCCTGGCCCCCGAGGCCTGGGTCACAGTCTCTGTCCCCAGCCTGCTGTCTGCAGTTAGGCCGTTGGGCTCCTTCCCTGAATGTTGCCTCTGGGCTCGCCGTCTGGTCCTCACCCCAGATCCCTGAAGAAGGGTACCTCCACAGTGGCACCCAGCACAGTAGCTATGTAGCGAGCCTTCATCCTCGCGTCCAGAGCCACTGTGTCCCCTCACAGCATTGAACCCAGGGAAGATGAGGCCATCCGTCCCCTGCCCCTCTGCATGCTCCCAGAGCCATGTCGCATCCTGGGGTCCCCACCCCAAAACCTCCCCCTCAGTGAGACCATACCCTGAACTACAGCAGGAGGGGTGGCAAGAGGCTGGGGGAGGCTCTGAGTTCAGTACTCAACCCCACTTCTGTGCCTGGGGCAGCTGCCGCCGTGGCCAGCTTGAGTCTGTCCCCATAAAGGAGGAGACAGCCATGGAGTCGCACTGGTCCACAGTTTGGACCTGGCCCCATCTGCCTATGCGCGCCCAGGGCTTGAGTGTGGTTGGGAAGCTTTCTGTGGGCGAGAGCACTGGGCCCCCTCCGTGACCTCAGGCTGCTCAGCCACGCCAGCCCCAGGCTTGACCAACGACCCCTGAGCCCCGAGGGACCAGTGTGGCTGTGGACCGAGCACAGGGAGTCCCAGAGGGTCTTACCCAGGTCCTGGGAACCCACGTGCTCACCCGGGCCCAGGGACTCAGGTGGCCTGCAGTAGAGACCATAGCACCAAAGGCACAGGGCCGTGTGGCAGTGCTGCTGGCCACCCTGACCTGGCTCCTCCCCGCTGGGCCCTGTGCACAGGCAGCAGGCTCGGGGGAAGGGTGCAGCCCTGGGCACCAGAGGCCCTGTCCCGACAACAGCGGGTGCACCAAGGGACCTCGGTGGGAGTGGGTGCGAGGACAGCATCTGCCCTAGGGGCCACGCAGTCTTGGTTGAGACACGTGTACATCTGCCAACAGCTTTTGGGTGCCAGGTGCTCATGTGACCCTCCTCAAAGGAGCAAATTCACAACCTGAAGAAGAGCTTCAGGCCAAGCGCAGTGGCACATAGGCGTGCTTGTGTCCCAAGCTCATGGTGGGCCATTCGTGGAGGCTGGAGGCCCGCGACTCTGAGCCCAGGCTAACAACTCAATCCCTTAGCAAGACCCTGGCCAAAAATAAAAACTAAAAAGGCCTGGGAGGTAGTTCAGTGTGAAGGCCCTGGCTTCTATGCCCAGTACTGGGGGTTAGGGACAAAGAAGCAGCCCTTGGTGTTAAAGAAGTCAGCTGTCGTCAGAAGCCCACCCACCAGACCAGCCGTAGCCGACTATACATGCCAAGAAGCCGACCCTGCACGGGCTCCTGCCCCCAAAATGCAGAGGGGAAAACACCTCTCTGGTTTTGGTTAGGTGTTTGGGGTTTTCTTACTGTGGTACAGGGGTAGAACCCACATGTTCTCTACAACAGCACCATGTCCACAGTCCTCGGTTTTTGTTTTTGGAGTCTTGTTTTTTGAGATAAAGTGTCTATGACACTCGAACTCAGGTGGCCCTTCTGCCTTAGCCTCCCGAGTGTTGGGATGAGAGGTGTGTGACTCCACCCAGAAAAGGCTGAGCTTCTACACTGAGACAGGGTCCCACAGTGTTGCCCGGCTGGCCTTGATGTAGTGATTGCCCTGCCTTAGCCTCTGCAGCAGCGGAATTAGTGGGCAGTGACACCACACCCAGCTCAGTTTGTTCGGTGACTAGAATGTCACCTGACATCCACTGCCGCAAGGTGGGGCCAGATAGTGACGGGTCAGTGCAGTGTATCAGTGGCGATGCCAGATTTCTGAAGTCTTCTCAGCCAGGTAGCAGTGTCTGGAGACCTGGACCAGGCTGGGCAGGGACAGTAGGAACCAGAGCGCCTGGCCCTCCCCATGTCCCTCCGTGCTGCAGCCCGGTCACCTCAAGCACCCCGGGGCCTGCACTTCCAGCCCCAACCTGTGACCAGCCGGTGGGAGACCCACTTTGGTCTGGACATCTGCATGCCCCCCGCATTCCCACTGCCTCTCCCCAAGAGCCAGGAGTCGGGGGCAGAGTCCTGAGCAGGGCATGGGTAAGTGACTGTCCCTCAGGCCACCTGGGTGGCAAGTGCAGGCAGGCTCAGCTGTCACAGCCACCACAGCGCAGGCTTCTGCATGGCCCCAGCTGCCCTCCACACCTCGGGGACAGTGAGCAGGAAAACCCCATGGAGCTGACTCCGATCACCCCAGTCGTAGAGCAGCCCTCATTAAAAATGCAACATCCCCCCAAAAGATGCAAGAACCTGTACCCCATCATCCCATCACTCAGGAGGCTGAGGCAGACGGGTCATCCTGAGCTACATAGTGAGACATTGTCTTAAAGGACAAAGGAGATTTCAGAGAAAGGAATATCCAACACCCATTTATGGTTCTTATTTTAAAATTAAAACTTAACTGACTAGAAGGGAAATGCTCAGCGTCACACAGGCTGCCTCCGCAGCCCTGGACTGCCAGTGGTTCCTTCTAAGTCAAAGCGGGCGGGGCTCTAGCTGTCACTTCATCAGCCTGGTGTCATCCCAGGGGCCTGGCAGGAGACGGACGTGGAGCCCCCTCACGTGGGCAGGCGTAGGCTGCAGTGCATCCTGGAAGGCCCGGGCACCAGGACGTGCCTCACCCTCGCTGCTTGGAAGGCTGAGGCAGCAGGACCCTGAGCTCCAGCCCTGCCTGAGCACCTTGCTGATTTGGTGAGAGCCTGGCTCAGAAAATCCTGAGGGCTGGGGATTGACTCCGTGGGAAGGCACCCCGCCCCACAAAAGAAGTCTGTAGTGCTGAGAGGTGCTCACGGGAGGAGGCGGCACATCCCTCAGGTGCTGCTCTCCCCGGCCCGGCAGCGGCGCAGTCCTTCCGCAGCGCAGGCTTACGTGTAAGACAGTGTCCTCCGTGGCGCTGCGGGCACCACGCAGCTCCCACGGGACAGCTGTACAGATGTCCAGGCCCTCCTCCCCGGCTGCCAGGGAGGGAGAGGATGAGTGGGGACTGCCAGGGCTGGAAGACACTGGAGCCAGCCAGAAGTGCCAGACCAGGCCGCCGAGAGACAGGCCAGAGCCTCTCACCAGGGAAACGTTAGGAAGGGGCCTGGAGCCGTGCCTGGAGGCACATGCCTGTACTCCAGCACTCGGGAGCCTCGGGCAGGAGGACCACCGTGCGCTCAAGGCCAGCCTGGGCTACGTAGTGCAACCTTGGCTCAAAAACAGAATGCGGTTTCAGAATCCACCGTACCCTGAGCTGGGAGCTCAAAGAGGTCCCCACAAGTGGGTGACCCATAACACAAGTGTGATTGAAATCTAGGGTAGATGTTTACATAAAACCATGATAAGAGTGTCATAAATCCCCTCCGACTGTCCTCTGGCTGTGAATGCACATCGCGGCTTCTGCAGCAGCCCTGGAGTCCTCTTTCCCAAGTGTCCACCAGTTGTGATCAAAAATACAGTGATGGGCTGGGGAGGTGGCTCAGTAGAAGAAGCACTTGCCTGGCAAACGCAAGGGCCTGAGTTCAATCCCCGGTTCCACCAAAAAAAAAAAAAAAAAAGAAAGAAAGAAAAAAAAAAATAGTGCTGCTGTTGGCTGTCACTCAGCGGAAGCGCAGGCTCGTAAAAACCCACCATTGTGTCTTCGTCCACCTTATTCACTGGACATTGCACTAGGTAACTTCTGGCTCCTTGCCAAGTTTTCTAGACTGGGTGTTTCTATATAATCTGGGCTGGCCTTGAACTCACTGTGTAACCCAGGATGCCTCAGACTCATAGCAGGCTGGGGATACACTCAGCGGCACAAGCACCTTCTTAGCAAGCTCAGGGGTCTGAGTTCAACTGCTGGTACAAAAAAAAAAAAAAACATACAAACCTCGTGATCCTCCTGCCTCAACCTTCTGAGTGCTAGAACACTGGCATGCACCACACCTACCCAAAGAAAATTGTTCTGAATGGACTCAGGCCATCGAGGCCACCAGGACAGCACAGCGAAAGACCCTCAGGAGAGGGGACTCCAGAGCTGCTGCAAAAAAGTGCCAAGGAGAGCTGAATGTGGTGGCACAGGCCTGTCATCCCAGAACTCAGGAAGCTGAGGCAGGAGGATCATTGTGAGTTGGAGATCAGCCTGGGCTACAAAATGAGCTTAAGGTCAGCCTAAGCTGCATAGCAAGACCTGGTCTCAAAAAACAAAAACAAAAAAGATTTAAAAAAAAAAAAAAAAGTGGCAAGGACGATGGGAAGAGTTGTTTGAAATGAGTGGGAGGATTCGAAGGGATTTGCCGCAAAATGCCTTTTGCTGTTCCAATTTTTTTAAAGCATTCACTACACTATGCTACGCTATTTTTCCACCCCGGCCCCTAAATTACGAGCCTCACAGATTTGAGCTGGTTTCTGTCCTTACCATCCCTGAAGCTGGCATAAGAGTCTGGGTTGCTGAATCCCGGCTGGCTCTCACTGTACCAGATCAGCATCGTCCTGTGCCTCCAGATGTTTGTGTCCAACAGGAACCAGGCAGACCCAGGATGCAGAAGCACAGCCCTAGGCCTGGTGTAGTGGCACATAACTGTCATCCCAGCACTCAGGAGGCTGAGGCAGGAGGATCACCTTGAGTTCAAGGCCAGCCTGAACTGCATAGTATAATTCTGTCTCAAAAAACAAGAACAGTTGGGGCCGGGGAGATAGCTCAGTGGAATAAGCACTTGCCTGGCAAGCTCAAGGACCTGAGTTCAATCCCCGGTTCCACAAAAACAACAACAACAAAAAAAAAAAACAAGAACAGTGGCTGGTGAGATAGCTCAGTGGTCTAAAGCACCTGCTTATGCAAGTGCACAGGGACTGTGGTTCAATCCCCAGCACCACATGCCACGCCAGCCCTACCCTCAGAGGGTGGGCTGAGCAAGCCACAGGAAAAAAAAAAAAAAAGCACAGGCCCAAACTTGAAGGCACAGAATCTCCTCTCGGCTGAGGTCTGGGCATAGCCAGGTGTGGCTAGGACAGTGCAGAGCTTACTGTGTCCTGGGAGGCTGAGGCAGGAGTGTGCATTCACCACAAGTTCAAGGCCAGCCTGGACTACATGGTGAGGGGGTTCAAAATCCCTCATACTTAAAAAACTTGAGAGCTGAAAAACAAAATAACTCAGGTGATCCCAATTGGCCCTTAGATGAGAAAGCACTCACGGCCCCATGCTCACTGCAGAGCCCCTGCCTGGCACACAGTGGGGCCCTGGCATCAATTCCAGCACCACGAAAACTACAAATACCAATGAAGTCCCTCATACGTGCCAACGATCGCCGGTGCTCAAGCTGCCCGGTGACGGCGCCTTAGTCACAGCTGCCCAGGGGGCCGAGCGCTCAGGTTGGCATGGGGAGACACGTCTCCAACAAACAGAAAGATGAAACGGCCAGGACTCAGGGCAGGAGGAGGACCTGGCTGCCCGGAGTCAAGCCTTACAGGGAGTCCCGTGAGGGACATCATAGTGGCTCATAAACCAGCTAAATAGAGCACAGAGCTGAACTTAGAAGTCAGCCAATAAGGTGTCCAGATACTGGAGCCAACTGGAGGACCTTCCTGAGTGGGGACCTCTGCTTACAGTGAAGCCACCCTCAACGCACCCTCTGTAAAGGAAAAGACAGGTTTGGCTCCATCAAGTCTAGGGAGGAGCTGGGTTTTGGTTTTCTATTTCTTTTGTGTGTGTGTGTGTGTGTGTGTGTGTGTGTGTGTGTGTGGAACTGGGAATTGAACTCGGGCTCTTGTGCTTGTCAGGCAAGCCCTTATTCTACTGAGTTATCTCCCCAGCCCCTTGGCTTTCTTGAGACAGGGTGTCACTATGTAGTACAGGCTGCCGGACGTTGACACCCAGCAACTGTCCTGCGTCGCGAGCACTGGGACGGCAGCAGCGTGGTGCGCGCTCCCACGGCCGGCTGGGAACAGCGCTAGGGCCTCTCACCTGCCTTCTCTCCAGCCCCCTAGATGGAGCCCGTTAGAGACACAGAACTTCAAGTTTCACAAAGGAGCGGAATCTGCATTTTAATCAGCTCCTTCGGGATTCAAGCACTTTAACATCCAAGGCCTATTGGGCTGGGTGATTTTTCCGTCTGATTTATTTATTTAAGAGATGTGTGCACACATGAAGCCCTGGGCCCAGTCCCCAGTGCCAGGGAAAAAAAAGTCCCGTGAGAAGCGCTGTGGTGGGTATTTTTTGGCATGTGCCCATCCTTAGACAAAGGTTTTCCTCCTCCTCTTCGTGGCTGGCTCAGCCTCTCTGAACCAGCCCTGGCCGTGGAGTGGGGCCCACGCCGGGGCCGCCCCATCCTGCCTCCTGGTGCTACACAGCGGGCATTACAGCCTGTGGCCACTGGCCTCGCCCCTCTCCCAGCAGATGCCACTGCATCTTGTTCCCACACGACCTGGATGGGTGTCGAGGACCTGACCCAGGGCAGGCAGCAGGGGCAGGGACAGAAGATGGGCAGGGAGGATTGAGCAGTGGTCCCAGCAAAGCCACCAGGAAGGATGGGCCTGGTAGCATCGCGCCTCTGTGTGAGCAGTGAGCAGAGCTGCCCACAGCATCTCGGAGGGGCCAGGAACCCAGTCCAGCTGTGGACAGATGTGGGCTGCTCACCAGAAGGGAGCGGGAAGAGGCAGTGTTCCCTGGAAGTCACACGGAGCCCTGGTGGCTAGCAGGAGGGAGTCTGTCCCTGCCTGCCCGCCCCCCAGCAGCACTAGCAGGGGGGAAGCGGCAGCTCCTGCCTGTCCTCTCCCAGGCTAGGTCCATCACTACCCGGGGTCGGAAGTGACAAGTCCCTCCAGATGGCTCTGCAGACCCAGCACTTGTTCCCACTGCAGCTTCTTAAGGTCAAGGCCAGGCGGGGATCCCACGGAGACCTCAGAGGCGGCTGGGGGGGACATCCTTCAGCCACCACAGAAGCCACGGCTTCAGGACAGCTGCCACGCCTATGCTCTCCTTTGCCTGCTGCGGTGACACTGATCCCACAGGGACCTGAGTCCACAAGAAGGGGTGGCCAGGCTATGAGCCCTCGGCAACCCCACAGGAGCACAGCTTCAGGGGAGGTAGAGGGCCACCACCACATAGATGACCCAGCTGGTGGCCACAAAGACCCCGAAGAGCAGGCTGAAGAGCACCAGCAGGCGGGCCTTGCGCGATGCCTCCTCTGCCTGGGCCAGGTCACCCCTGCCCAGTGCCGCACGGGTCTGCAATGGGACAGCAGGTATAAGGTGAGCAGGGACCACAGCGCTTGTTCAGAGGAAGGGACAAAGGCTCAAAATGGTCAGGGGCTTCATGGTGAGAGGGACCCCCAAGTCCCCAGTGGCAGCAGCCTCCAGAACCCCATGGGAGTGCACTGAGAGCTATGGCTCCTAAGCCAGCTTGCAGCCTGGGCCCCTGGGTGCTTGCTCTGTTACAGTGTCACCCATTGGCACCATCTGATCCCAGGGCTACAGCTTGTGCCACCATGTGCTCAGTAAGGTCAGGAGGGAAGAGATGGAGGGCATAGTGTGAATGGGTCAGATGATGGATGGATGGATGGATGGATGGATGGATGGATGGATGGATGGATGGACAGAAGGAGGGTTGGAGGAATAGAGATGGGAGAGATGGGGAAGGGGCAGGTATGGCTGATAGTGACTGATGAATGGATAGATGATTAGATGGATGGATGGGTGGGTGGTTGAAGGGTAGTTTGGCTGAGTGTGTGTGTGGTTGTATGAGTGGAAAGGCAGATGGGCAGATGGCTGGGTGGGTATGTGGGTGGGTGGGT